AAAGGGCCGATCCTGCAATTGGAGATTGATGGGGGTCAATGCCTGAGGGCTCCCAGTATGTGAGAGGGGGCAGGCTGGGCTGAGGGACACTCCCCCTCACCCCCCACCCAGTGCACGAATTTCGTGCACCGGGCCCCTAGTATATTATAAAAACCCTAATCATGATTTTTCCAGGTCCTACCATTCTTGAGTCCAGGGAATGGAAAGACCTCCACGGGTGTCTTGGCTGGGGTAGGAAGTGGCGACTGTCTCAGCCAGCCAGACACTGGGTGGAGAAAACTCCATCCAGTTGGCTCCGATTCCCATGGATGGGCCACCTCTCCCAGCCCTTTCTATAGGGGCCAGAGCCAGTGGGCAGTCCATCCTCAGAAACTTGGTTAACAAGACAGAAAAGCGCTGAAGGAAACCTGGGCTTTCCCACAACTACAGCACAGTGCTGCCCTTGGTGGCAGGTCAGGCCCCATCCTTCCCCACAGGGGCGGCAAATAACAGGCTAACGTCACCGCGTAAAGCTTGCAGTTATCTTTTACGTGTGTAAAAAGTATAAAACTGTGTATAAAGGCAACAAAATGAATGCAGGTGTAAGCAGTATGAAAATTGAAATAATTCAAGTCAAAGATCATCACTATTTTACTTTTCTTTCACTGTTTTTCTCTTCTTTTCTTCTCCTGTTCCTTCTACTGTTTATGTCAACGTTAGTTTGTGTCCTACCTAATCAATCAATTATAGCATTAGTTGTAAGTAGTTTGGGGAGATACTCTTCTTTACAACGCAGAGAGTAACTGCCCTTGGGCATTTGAAGATTCAAGACAGAGACGAAGACTACCTCAGAAGAGTATTAGAGAATGCTAGAATCTTTTCCTTTAGGGAAAAAAATAGTAATAGAATATGGCTTCAATGTGCTAATTGACCTGGTTGCATAATCATTTCATGAAGTGTACATATGTCAAATCATTTGTTGTACAATTTAAATACATACAATTTTATTTGTCCATTATACCTTAACAAAGCTGAAAAAATAAGTAAAACACATGCTCACTTCAGCAGCACGTATACTAAGACTGGAATAACACAGAAAAGACTGACTGCTGAGCAAAAATGACACAAATTCGTGAGGTGTTCCATACTTTTTAAATAATTTGTGGGATGTAATAGACAGTATGGTGACTGTAGTTAACAATACTCTCAGTATATCTGAATGTTGCTAAGAGAGTAGATTGTACGTAAAATTTCTCATCATAAGAAAAAAAAATTGTAACTATGTGTGGTGATGGATGTTAGCCTTATTGTGGTAATCATTTCACAATTTCTACAAACATGTTATACACCTGAAACTAATATAGTGTTATATGTCAATTATGTTTAAACTAGAGGCCCAGTGCACAGATTCATGCACATTGAAAGGAAATTAATTAGAAGAAATATTTTAGAGGCTGGGGAAGGACCTTGGGAGATTGGCCAGCCAGGGAGGGATCAGGGGAGGTTGGCTCCAGGGCATATCTGGCCAGTCTCACCCAGGCCCAGTCCAGAGAGACTGGGGCCAGGGAGGGACCACAGGAGGGCTCCAGGGTGTGTTCGGCCCATCTCCCCCAGTCCTGATCAGCCGGACCCCAGCAGCAAGCTAACCTATTGGTCAGACCGTCTGCCCCCTGGTGGTCAGTGAGTGTCATAGCAACTGGTCAAACGGTCAAACAGTTGGACACTTAGCATATTAGGTTTTTATTATGTAGGATAAAACTAATTAATAGCCCTAGCCAATTTGGCTCAGTGGATAGAGTGTCAGCCTTTGAACTGAAAGGTCCAAGGTTTGATTCCAGTCAAGGGCACATGCCGGGTTGTGGGGTCGATCCCCAGTGGGGGACTTGCAAGAGGCAGCCAATCCATGATTCTCTCATCATGGATGTTTCTGTCTCTCTCTCCCTCTCCCTTCCTCTCTGAAATCAATAAAAATATATTTTTTTAAAAAACTAATAAATAAATGGTAAAGAATAACTGCATAAAGGTACAACCAAGAACACACAGCAGACCTCAGAGAATCAGTCTCCACTCATGTAATCAAAATGGTAACCTCCTCCCACTCCTGCTCAGTTCTCAAGTACTGAGTCAGGACCCACTGATAAGGGGAAATGGAGGCCCTGCCTCAGGGTAGGAGCACGAGTCAGAATGAACTGGACTCTGTTCCTAGCTCGGCCACCACACCTGTAAGGGCCTGAAGTTTCCTAAACATCAGTTTCCTCAGCCAGCAAGTGAAGAGAAGAAGAGGTCCCTCCTTAGAGTGCTGAGAATTGTTCTAGGTAATTCATTAAAGACTTCAGCCTAGTGGTTCAGTGGTTGAGGGTTGACCTATGAACCAGGGGGTCACAGTTCAATTCCTGGTCAGGGCACATGCCCAGGTTGTGGGCTGGATTCCTAGTGAGGGGCATGCAGGAGGCAGCCAATCAATGATTCTCTCTCATTATCGGTGTTTCTCTCTCTCTTTCTTCCTCTTCCTTCCTCTATGAAATCAATAAAAATATAAATATATGACTTCAGCCTAGTACTTAGCATGTTAACTACCAGTCCTTATTAAACGCTGGCCATTAGACATCCTATATAATAAAAGTTTAATATGCAAATTGACTAAACAGCAGAACAATAGGCAGAACGACCGGTCGCTATGATGCACAGTGACCACCAGGGGGAAGATGCTCAATGCAGGAGCTGCCTCCAGCCCACAGGCCCCAGGCCAGCCAAGGCAGGTACAAACGGGGGCCCACCAATTGCCCCGCCAGTTGCCCCGCAGAAGGAGACGACCGGCAGCCACAGCGGTAGGGGGCAGGGCCAGCAAGTGGGCAGCACCAGGCCGGCCAAAGTGGGTGCAATCAGGGGACCCTGGTCACCTCACCAGTCATTCCACAGATCGGCCCTGATCACCGGCCAGGCCTAGGGACCCTACCCATGCACAGATTTTATGCACCAGGCTTCTAGTACTTACATAATTACTTCTAATAAGGAAGTAAACCTAGAGTCACACCAATGACTTTTAAGATTATTTGTGATATTGAGTGAAGAAGGACTGGTGAAGAAGTGTGGATGGCTCTTTAAATATCTGTCTTTACATTTTCAAGAATTACTTTATTCTACTAAAATATCTTTCATCCTTCTTACTAGAGGCCTGGTGCACAAATTCATGTACAGCTGGGGTCTGACCCGTGCGCCCCAATCGGGGCCAATCAGCCAGCCAGCTGGGGGGAGGGGACGTGGGAGGTTGGCAGCTGGCCCTGCCTCAAACGCGGTGAAGGGGGCTGATAGGGGGCAGGGCCAATGGTGGGGGAGGGGCCACCAGTGGTTGGCCAGCCACCCCATCCCCTGGTCGAACTCCTGGTTGAGGGGGCAATTTGCATATTAGCCTTTTATTATATAGGATTCTCATAAAAGGACAACAAAATCAAACTCTCAACTTAGGTGCCAGAGCTGGAGAATGATGCAGTCTTCTTGGGGAGCAGTGCAACCAGCACCCACTTCCATCACTCAGCATTGCAGACAGTTTTTTACAGCTACCACCCCCAGCATAGGATACAGAACTCAAAAACCGCAGCAGCATCTGTCGTCCTAAAGTGGAAACAAAGTCTTATTTGGGTCCTTTCTCCAAGAGAGGAACCATGGATGCTTCCCCATGCTCCTCCTTCCTAGAGCTCCTTCTTTCCCTCACTTTCTCCCGGGATCTTGTCTCTATCCGCAGGCTTTCTCTTTCATTTCTTTCCTTCCTGCTCTCAGGTCCCTGGAAGAGAAGGTCGGAAAAGCATGAAAGCACTGGCGGCTGACAACGTTCCGCATTTCTCTTAATTATCAGAAATGAAGCAAGGCCTGACCATGGAGCAGACTTCCACACCTCAGTTTCTTATAATAAACTAGAGGCCCAGTGCACAAAAATATGTGCACTCGGGGGGAAGGGGGAGTCCCTCAGCCTGGCCTGTGCCCTCTCGCAGTCTGGGACCCCTCGGGAGATAATGATCTGCTGGCTTAGGCCTGCTCCTGGGTGGCAGAGGGCAGGCCCAATCCCTAGGTGCAGCCCCTGGTTGGGCTCAGAGCAGGGCCGATTGGGGAGTTGGGGCACCGCCTCCTGTCATGCACAGGGCAGGGCGGATTGGGAGGTTGTGATGCCACCTCTAGTCACGCTCAGGGTAGGGCCGATTAGGGGGTTGGGGCACCGCCCCCGTCACACTCAAGGCAGGGTCGATGGGGAGGTTGCGGCACCACCCCCTGTCACGCACAGAGCAGGGCCCATCAGGGGGTTGAGGAGCTTCCCCTTGTCACTCAGAGAGTAGGCCCAATAAGGGAGTTGGAGCACCACCCCCTGTCACACACAGAGCAGGGCGATCAGAGGTTGGGGAGCTCCCCCCTATCAGGCACAGAGTAGGGCTGATCAGGAGGTTGGGGCGCCTTCCCCTGTCGCGAACAGAGTAGGGTGGATAGGGAGGTTGTGGCCCCACCCCGTCACACACAGAGCAGCAGGGCGATCAGGGGGTTTGGGCACTGTCCCCTGTCATGCTGATCCCGGTGCCGGGAGGCCTCGCGGTTCCGCTGATCCCGGTGCTGGGAGGCATATTACCCTTTTACTATATAGGATAGAGGCCTGGTGCACGGGTTGGGGCCGGCTGGTTTGCCCTGAAGGGTGTCCTGGACAGGGTGGGGGTCCCCACTGGGATGTCTGGCCAGCCTGGGTGAGGGGCTGAGGGCTGTTTTCAGGCTGGCGGGTAACAGAAGCTCCCAACCGCTCCTTTTTTTCTTTTTCTTTTTTAATTCTGGGCCAGCTTTAGCTCTGAGGCTCCAGCTCTGAGGCCTCAGCTGCTGAAAGTAGGGATCTGGTTTGTTTCGGTTCTATAATCAAAACAATGTATAACTCCAGCCCTGACTCCAGCTCTGAAATCCCAGCTCGCTGAAAGCTGGTTTCTGGGGTTTTTTTTAGCTTCTATATTTGTTAAAATTTTTCAAACTGCAGGCTCAGAGACCTGCAAGGCAGGCGGGGAACATTGGTTTCCTCCGTCACTGAAGCAAGCAAGCCTCATGTTAGTTTCATGCTGCCTGGCTGCCGGCCGCCAGCTTGGCTGTCAGTTAATTTGCATATCTCGCTGATTAGCCAATGGGAAGGGTAGCGGTCGTATGCCAATTACCATGTTTCTCTTTTATTAGATAGGATTAGCATAAGCCTAAGGGTGGTGCTAAGCATTTTAGTCATAAATAAAAGGAATAGGGGGCCTATGATGGTCTATGGAGGACACTCAGCCAGCTCGCAACTGACTCTGCCTCTGACACATGGAGGGAGGTGATTTCATAGCACAAAACTGAAAAGGGATGTGGTAAGTGAATCATACATGCAATGATTCTAACCTCCCTGTGACCACTCCCTTAAATTATATTAATAGTAGGGTTTGCACTAGTTTTAATCTGAGGACTTTGTGAAGACTGAAGTGTCAAAAAAAACACCCAAATCATCAACAGTCCCCAGCAGGTTACCCAGGGGCCCGTATTCACTGGGATCAGGAGATACATCACCAACTACAGGACCCAACTTCCTACATTTTATACCTAGGGGGAGGGACACAGACAATAAGTGTAAAAAGAAACAAGAGAATAACCAATGATAACTATGAACAGGATGAAATGACAGGGAACTATGGGGTGTGTGGCGGGGGGGGGTGCTTCTTTTGTTTCCATGGTCAGGGAAGGCCTTTCAAAGAGTGGTGATGATATATCTGTTTACACTTTTCTCTTTTAAAGTAAAAGAAATAAAATCATTGTTCTCCCCGCCTCCATCTGATTTAGAAACTCCGGGAACCCCTAAATGCCTGTCAAGTGAATTGATGCAGTGGCGAGTGGCGGTGAGATGAGCAAGGTCCGGACTCAGCCCTGCAGGGGTGTCAGTTACTCTGCAGTGTAAATTGTTTGTGGAATGTACCAAGGTCGTTTCATTTCTATCCATACGGGTCCATCCATCAAAGACAGAAAGCCAAACAAATGATGAAGCTGAGATACAAACTAAGAGGAACTTAAAAACTGAACTAGCTCCATAAATGTGCCCCCAGATTATTTTCATTAGGTGCAGCAGTTGTATTTAGACACATCCGTCTGATCAAAATTTATATTTAGCAGTCTTGAATGTCTCTAATACTTAAAGAAGAGTATAAAAATGAAAATATGGTGACAGTTATTCCCACTTTGGCTTTTCCTTTATTGAGAATAAAGACTGAGAAATGATCAAAAGTAATGACCTGAGATATTTTTCTTATCTCACTTAGAAACAAAATGTGAAAATTATCAATATAAGCCCATTGAGTTTTTCAATATCAAGATGATATTGAAAAGTCATTTGTTGTTGGTCATAATCAGCTACAAAAGCAATTTCTGTGTCTTTTTGATGCTAAAAGACAGAAATTAAATCTACATATTAGTATGCGCCTGGAGCTCAAATAAAAGATAATAAATGTCATTTTTAAATTCACTGACAAATCACACTTTTTAAGGTAGTTAGCTTTGGAAAGGTGTGTCAGTTGTGAAATAGAAAAAAGTTTTAAAATATCTGTATATGTTTTGAATTTTTAATTTTGTATTAAGATAAACTTTATAATATACTCGTTAAAACTGATATAAAAGAAAATATTAAATTTAAAATTATTTACTATAAATGTTTTTATCACATGAAAATTGAAATAATTTTGTAAATTCCTAGCAGGTTTCTAGCTATTACAGTATACTAAAGGCCCAATCGGTATGCCAGTGGGGTCCCTTGGCCTGGCCTGCAGGGATCAGGTCGAGACTGGCTCTCTGACATCCCCTGAGGGGTCCTGGATTGTAAGAGGGCACACCCTGGAATCCGGCTCCCTCCTCTCTGGTTCCAAGTGACTGCAGCTCAGTAGCTCCTGCACTGAGCGTCTGCCCCCTGGTGGTTAGTGCGGGTCATAGCTACTGGCCGGCTGGTCGGCCAGTCGACTAGTGGGCTGCCCAGCCAATCGCTTAGGCTTTTATATATATAGATACCTATGAAAAGAATTCTTGAGTTGAAAAAAAAAACAGTTGAAAATGCTGCCTTGGTTATCTTGGCATTCAAAAGGTAGAACTTGGGCCTGGCTGGCATGGCTCAGTGGTTCAGCATCTATCTACAAACCAGGAGGTCACGGTTCAATTCCTGGTCAGGGCACATACCCAGGTTGCAGGCTTAATCCCCAGTAGGGGGCATGCAGGAGGCAGCCAATCAATGATTCTCCCTCATCATTGATGTTTCTCTCACTCCCTCTCCCTTCCTTTCTGAAATAAATTTTTTAAAAAAAATTTTTTTTTAAAGGAAGAACTTGGGAAATGAATGGAACAACATGTTATATTTTAGGAATGTTAGCAAATGGTTTCACTTAAGCAATTTTATAAGATTATGTGAAAAACAATTCAAGGCCATTACAATCAACAGAGAAGTGTTTAGATTAAAGTATTTTTCAAAATATATTTATACCCTACCTTATTCCAGAAAGGATTTAAGGCAGTTAAATTTCCTAAATGAATATAATCAGTAGCTTTAACGTGTAGTTTTAAAACAGGAATTCCTTCACTTCTGCTTTATTCTTGCCAAAAGATCATAATCTTAATCTAACTATGAGGAAACATCAGATAAACCCAATTTGAACGTCATTCTAAAAAGTAACTGCCCTGTACTCTTCAACTGACAGTGTTACAAAAGACAAGTGAAGACTGTGGAACTGCCGCAGAATAGAACAGATTAAAGAGAATGAATTGTTTGCAACGCATGATCTGAAATCTCCCTACAAAGAATATTATCAGGACAAGAGGCAAAATAGGGATAAGGTCAATAAATTAGATACAAAAGTATTGCATTGGTGGTAATTTCCTGAGTTTCATTATTGTACTGTGTTTATATAAAAGAATGTTCTAGTGCTCTCGTTTGGGGATGGGAAGGAGAAAGAGAGTATAGTAAATATGATAAGTGTTAATATCTGGAGGGAATATAGATGAAGGGTGTATTCTTTGTACTATTCTTGTAACATTGCTCTAAGTCTGAAACCATATTTTTTTAAAAGCAGTATAAAGAAAGGATAAAACAGGAGCTCTTGATAAGTGACAGCTGTTTACTAGTCTTCCTTCTGTATTCCTCTTATGGTCAGGTGAAGAGAGCAGCTTACTGAAGGAGGAACACAGATACACAGGATTACTCTGACAAAAGTGAGGCAAAGGCACACAGTACAGTCCCAGCAGCCATTACTGCTAGGCAGAAAGCATTGTGCTCAGATGGGCAATGAGGTAGGAAGCACCTGAGTGCCCTTGCTGTACACAGAGTGCAGCTGAAGAACCAGGTGGTAATACACCTCGGTTCACTTATTTGCTCTGTCTACTATATGGCAGAACATATCATCATTCCTGTTTTGCAAAATAAAACAAACAGCAAAGGACCACAAAAAAAGAAGTATTTTGTTCAAGACCGCTCCGTGAGCAAGTTTCCCCAAAGTAACTGTACCTCAAAATTAATTGATCTCTACATTATTACTTTATGAAGCAAGCTCAGCATCACCAGTGGAGCTTCTATTATTCCCCCATTTTCAGCCTGTCTTCCTTGTAGTTTACTGAGACCCTCCCAAGGCCACTGTGAGCACTTGGACCACCCCTACTCCTGGAAACTTACTACTGTAGATAGTGACCAGAGAGTTCCCTCCACATGCTTTTTAAAAGTTCAAGGGAACGTGGCATCACAGACTACTTGCTACTGGATTAAATACTGCACAGAAGAAGTGCAAGGAGAATGAGTCACAATTATCCTATATAATAAAAGGCTAATAGGCAAATTATCCCCCTTGACCAGGAGTTAGACTGTGAGTTTGACAAGGGGACGAGGCCAGCCGGCCAACTGCCCACAGCCCCTCCCCCCAGCTGGACCTACCCCTGATCGGCCCTCCCTCACTCCGATTGGCTGGACCCCACCCGTGCAAAAATTCGTGCACCGGGCCTCTAGTTCATAATAAGGGTGATGAAAGCAGTCTCAAAGAACTAGAGGACCCCCATAACAAAAACATTCCACTAAAGGTCCTCTAGGAATTCTTCCTACACCAGAAGCCTTCAATAAAAATAATTAAAAATTATGTACATCTGGGCTATGTACAGTAAAACTGAGTGTCATTTTTCAAAGATTTCATCAACAAGCTGTAAATGAAAAAGTTAGATTTGTTCTCCACGAGTATGGGGAGGAAGAACCCTTTGGGTTTCCTTTTCTAACGTGGCTTAAATATTCAATAACTCTGTTACATACCAAAGACAGAGAGCGTTTGGTTCCAAAGCACAGTTGTTGTTCAAAGGACTCTGAAAATGCCCGAGTTTTGGAATGGGATCTTCTGTTTGATTCCAATGGGTCCTTGAAGGGCCCATCCTCTGAGCGTTTTCTGTAATCTCTCATGTGGTTACGACATCGAAATCCCTGGTCCTCATGAGAATGCCTTCTAGGATGGCTGTCATATGATGTGACTCTGGGAAGAAACTGGAAATATAGAATAAAAATGTTTACAACATAAAGAGACTGCATGAAATTAGCTCAGAGACAGAACAGCCATAAATTACTAACTAAACAAACCTCAGGTTGAACTGAAATTTTATCTTTTTCATCAGTGGGACCTTTCTTCTACAATAAAGCACTAGAATCAATCAGTTAAAACATTAAGTAGAACATCCCAAGACTAGCTATCTTGCTCCTCCACCATGAGGACAATATCATGAAGCCTTGAGTTCAAAGCCTTGAGTTGATATGTATAAGTAAATTCCAAAATCATAACAAATTTTAATGAAACCACAGATGTTTAAGAAATAATACAAAAATGTATGTGATTTCTGTACAAAGAAGGAATTTCTTTTTTTGTTTTTTGAAAAAATATGGAATGCTGCACGAATTTGCGTGTCATCCTTGTGCAGGGGCCATGCTAATCTTCTCTGTATCGTTCCAATTTTAGTGTATGTGCTGCCGAAGCGAGCACCAAAGAAGGAATTTCTAAGCAGAAGAGCAATGGAATAAATCAGAATGAAAAAAATTAATTTAACTATGCAAAAAAAGCTAATATGCATCAAAAACAACTTAAAGTTAAATAGTAGAGAAGAAATAAAAATCATGTGCTACATGTTACTAATGTTTAATAATATCCTGACAATACATAGTATATCTTACATACATACAGAAAAACATAGAAATCATGTAATACAATGACATAAGTGTTCAAATCACATTAGGAAATGATCACAGAAGAATATTTTAGAGAAATCAAACTTCTTAGAAGAATTATGACACTTGCTCTCCCAATTTCCCTCACTACCCAATCCACTCCATTCAAACTTTTGCATCCACAACTAATTTTGGTTATGATGTTGGTCTCAATGTTGCCAAGTTCTGTGCACATTTTGGTCTTGATTAATTCAGTAGCATTCGACCCATTTGCCCTTCTGGAAACACTCTGTCCCTTGCCTTCTACCACTGTACCCTTTGCTTCCCTTTGCTCTTTCTTCCTGTGAGCTCACCCACTAGCTTTGCTTCACAAATAGCTAATCATCCTTCAGTCACCACTGAAACTGCATACCTACAGAAAGCCTTTCCTGCCACCTTGATTGGTTCAGGTCCCTGTTAGATGTTCTCCTGGGCGCTCATACCTCTTTACCATACTCATCATATAATCGGTAATTTGGGTAATTTTATAATATATCTCCCTTCTCCATTAATTTGTATCTCCATGACATCAAGAGCTGTGTTTCATTCTCTGCTGAAATCCTAGTCCTATGCAGCACCTTGCCTTATTCACAGGATGAATTTATTAAATATCTATTGGATTAATAGATATATAAAGAATGAAAAAAAAGAAATGCCAAACGGTAAAAATTGTTTATGCTTATTTGTCATCAAAGATTATTTAAATTAAATAATGTACAATTTCACCTTTCTGGCTAGCAAAAATAAAAATAAAAATGTTTCTTAGTGATACCAAGAAGTGGCAAAGTGGAGAGAGACACGCCTGTGATTCCTGGCTGGTAGGACTATAAATGGACACACCTTCCCAGTAAGCCACTGGCAAAATGTGTTGGGAGGTTAAAATATCCTGCTCCTTGGACCCATCTGTTGAGTGTTGTTATGGGCTGAGTTGTGTCCCTCCCCTCCAATTCACATATTGAAGCCCTATGTGAGATACTCAGAATGTGACCTCATTTGGAGCTAGAACAGTGGTTCTCAACCTGTGGGTCGAGGCCCCTTTGGGGGTCAAACGACCCTTTCACAGGGGTAGCCTAACACCGTCGGAAAACACATATATAATTACATATTGTTTTTGTGATCACTGTGCTTTTAATTATGTTCAATTTGTAACAATGAAATTGGGGGTCACCACAACTTGAGGAACTGTGTTAAAGGATCACGGCATTAGGAAGGTTGAGAACTACTGAGCTAGAACCTTTAAGGATTAGGTTAAAATAAGGCCTCTAGGGTGGGTCCTAGTCCAGTCTGACTGATGTCCTAATAGAAGAGGAAATTTGGACACACAGAGACCACCAAGAATTGTTCACACAGGAAAAACCATGTGAGGGCACAGTGAGAAGGTGGCTGTCTATAAGCCAAGGAAGGAGCCTCAAAAGAAACTACGTCTGCCGATTCCTTGATCTTGGGCTTCCCACCTCCAGATCTGTGAGGAAATAAATTTCTATTATTGAAGCCACCCAGTCGGGAGCATTTTGCAGCCCTAGAAGACACATACACATGCCTAGAAACTTACTGTCAAACGATGATCAGAAATATGGTTAAAGATTTGTAAAGCTGCCAAGATACATGAGGGAAATGTGTACGTACAAGTCCATTTATGGTCCTTGGTGCTGTGAATAAATTAGGGGGCAAAACAGGCAGAGTGTGCCCATCTTGGAGCTCATGTCTGGCTCAGAGAAAAAACACAAAACAAATAGGCCACATGCTTACTCCTTTGGCTAATGCTACAAAGGTTCAAGGTGGCCCTAGCCGATTTGGCTCAATGGATAGAGCTTTGACCTGCAGACTGAAGGGTCCCAGGTTTGATTCCTGTCAAGGGGATGAACCTCAGTTACAGGCTAGATCCCCAGTCCTGGTCGGGATGCATGCAGGAGGCAACCAATCCATGTGTCTCTTTCACATCGAGATTTCTTCTGTCTTTCCCCCTCCATTTCATTCTCTCTAAACAGCAATGGAAAAGTATCCTCGGATGAGGATTAACCAAAAACAAAGCAAAACACAAAGGTTCAAGGTGCAATGAGAGGATATAACAGGGTGAAATTGTGTGTACTTGGCTGGGTGAGGCTGGGAAGATTAGCAGGAAACTTCCGTGTAGGTGTGATGACTAAACTACAATCTGAAGGACAAGCAGGGTTAATTAGAGAACAGGAACATTTTCTGCCTGGGGACTAGCACCACAGGTGCCCAGGCCCTGTCACAGGAGGAGGAGCTGTGGGGTGGAAGGAAGAAAAACCTGCTGGGGCTGGAGGGCATGGAGGCCTGAGGGGAGGGAGACGGATTGGGGTGGTGTGGAGGGGCTTGAAGTAAGGTGCTAGCATAGGATGGGCAATCTTAAAACATCGAACTGTGACCAAAGGTTTTCTCAGTGATGTGGGATTGTGTTTGTTTTCTCCTCCTTTTAAGTATTTTTCAAGTTTTCTACAATGAGTGAATTTACATTATCAAGAAAAAAATGATTATTTTAAAATTTTGAAATAGCAGGGAAGCACAAATACTGCATGATGCCACTTACATGAGGCATCTAACATAGTCAAACTCAAAAAAAAAAATCAAAACACATAAATAGTCAAACTCATAGAAGCAAAAAATAAGTTGATGGTTGCCAGGGGATACAGGAGGGGAAATGGAACATTGCTAATCAGTGGATATAAAATTTCAGTTATGCAAGATGAATAAGTTCCAGAGATCTGCTTTACAGTATTGTGCCTCTAGATAATAACAATGGGTTATATACTTTAAAAACTGCAAAAAGTGAAAATCTGTTGAGGGTATAGATCCCAAATTAACTGTTCTTACCACAATTACATTTTTTGTAACTTTTAAAATATGTTTTTATTGATTTTTTTTTAGAGGGAGAGAGAGAGAAAGAGACATCAATTGGCTGCCTCCTGCACACCCCCAACTGGGGATGGAACCCACAACCTGGGCATGTGCTCTGACCGAGAATCGAACCAGTGACCTCTTGGTGCATGGGATGACACTCAACCAACTGAGCCACACCGGCCAGGCACCACAATAACATTTTCAAACAAGATTTTAAAATGTGAAACTGGGAGTGAAATATTGATATCCTCTTCCACTGAGAGGCCTGAAAAGATTGGCAAGAGTTATGCCAAGTCAGTGTGGCTCAATGGTTGAGCGTCAAACCGTGAACCAGGAGGTCACTGGTTCAGTTCCCACCTGGTCAGGGCACGTGCCCGGGTTGCAGGCTGGATCCCCAGTAAGGGGTGTGTGTGCAGGAGGCAGCCAATCCATGATTCTCTCTCATCATTGATATTTCTATCTCTCCCTCTCTTCTCCTCTCTCCCTAAAATCAATGAAAACAACATATATATATTTTTTAAAAGAAAGGCAAGAGTTTTAATCACAATATCTTTTTATATCAGGTGGAATTTCCCGTTTGTTTTTGGTGTGGGACTTTGTGAGAAACAAATATAAAAGGGCACTCTAATTGGTTACAGGGAGAAACTCCCACTTTTAAAAATGTTACTTACTATGCAAGTTCTACTTTTGCAATTTTATACGCCTTTGTAATGTAATTTCCCCGACAAAGACATGAATCAAGGCCCCCACAAAACTTATTTTTACCAAGTGTGAACTTGTCTCCTGCACAGTCATGGAAGGAAGCTTTGTCCCTTGGGGTGGGGTCTGACCTCACCCGTTGAGCTCCCAGGGGCCCCAGCAGCAGAGCCTGCGGCAGACACTGACTCTCAGAGCAGTAACTACCCAGTGTGCTGACTCTCCTTACAGAAGAGGCTCTAACAGCTTAGCTGTTTTCACGGTGGGCCCAGGAAACCGGTGCTGTTAAAAAAAAAAAAAAAAAAAAAAAAAAACCCCTCTGTACTCTCTGACCCCAAGTTCTGATTCTAAAGATGTTGATTATGTCAGATCTTCACTTCACAGCTTAACAACGTGATGTTCTTCGTCCTGCCTTTCACTGCAGTCACCCCCGAGTTGTACCCCCCCTGCCCTCTGAGTACACACAAGCTCCTGCCACCCACTGAGAGCAGGTGAGAAACAGTGAGCAGAAAGATGAGGTGCTAGGGGTGGAGTCTTAGTGCACAGTGTGTACCAGGGACTCCGGGGACTCTGACCTTGATTGCTAACCTCGGAACAAATCCTCCCAGGAAGCCATGCTTCCTCAATTACAGATGAGGAAAATGAATCTTAGCTTAGCTCAGTGATTCGCCTAAGACGTGTGTGCCTAGTGACTACTGGAGAAATCAAGTGCCATGCCTAAGCATGAGGCATCTCTTTCTTGGATTAATAATGCTAAACTTTTAACTTGAACAGCAGCAAAAACTTCATTCTATTTCTATGTGAAACTGCCTATAAATGTCACTTTTAACAATGTACCAGACGTAGCAGAATTCTACTGCAAAAGTAATAATAATACTTTGTAGGTCTTCAGGAATCATACTATGTAAGAATTTTATGTGAGGAAACCTATATATTAAAGAGCTAGTATGCAAATGGTCATCACGCCCTCATGTCATCACGCCCTGTCACGCCTTAACTGCTCAGACACTCAACACTGGGGAGAGAAGAATGGGGACCAGCCAGGCACAAATGAGCTCACGAGGGAGGAATGGGGACCACCCAGGCTGCAGGCCGGGAGAAGGACAAGCTTCCCGCCCCACGCTCCCATGTGCCAGCGGCTGGGGCTGCGGCCCGGGACAGGGACAAGCCTCCCTCACCACGGTCCCAGGCACCTGCAGCTGCAGCTGTAGCCCAGGTGAAGCCACCCACCCACAATCCCCTGCGGCTGTGGCCGGCCCTGGCGAAGCTGGCCCGGGTCCTGGGTGCCTACAGCCGGCCAGAGGGAGGGAAGCCCAGGTCCCACATGCCTGTGACTGGCCAGAGGAGGAACTCCTGGGTCCTGGGAACAGGGTGAGGCAGAGGCGGTGGCGGTTAGGGGCAATCAGGCCAGCAGGGGAGAAGTTAGAAGTGATCAGGCAGGTAGGCAGAGGTGGTTAGGGGTGATCAGGCAGGCAGGTAGGTGAGCAGTTAGGAGCCATCAAAATCCCAGATTGTGAGAGGGGTGTCCGACTGAGGTTGACCACCCCGGAACCAGAGAGGAGGGAGCCCAATTCCTCATGGGGACACGCAATTCCACCTTCAGCTGTGGGTTATGTTTTGCCAGTGCACTGTCGGCAAAACATAGTGGTTTACTGCACACTTGCATTTGCATTCCACACCCTCTACTACAGCAACTTTGCAGAGTGCCCTCTCACACCCCGGAACCCCTCAGGGGATGTCAGAAAGCTAGTTTCAGTCTGATCCCCACAGTCTAGGCCGAGGGACCCCACCTGCTGGAGGGACCCGACTCACTCCCTGGATGCCCTACAAGCAGCAGCTCTGCCCCAGGTGCGGCTGGCCAATAGGAACCATGGGAGGTTGGCTCCAGGGCATGCCTGGCCCATCTCACCCAGTCCTGCCCTGCTGCCACCCCCGGAACCAGATAGGAGGGAGCCCAATTCCTCATGGGGACACGCAATTCCACCTTCAGCTGTGGGTTATGTTTTGCCAGTGCACTGTCGGCCCCGAATCTGGTTTACTGCACACTTGCATTTGCATTCCACACCCTGTACGACAGCAACTTTGCAGAGTGCCCTCTCGCATTCCAGGACCCCTCGGGGGATGTCAGAGAGCCGGTTTTGGCCAGATCCCTGCAGGCCAGGCCAAGGACCCCACCTGCCAGAGGGACCCTGCTCACTCCGCAGACACCCTTTGAGCCACACCACCCCAGGTACAGCCAGTTGGGGAGGGACCGTGGGTGGTTGGACTCAGGGCGTGTCCGGCCCCTCTCGTCCAGTCCAGCCCCGCTGTCCACCTTCTAATTAATTTCCTGTCAATGTGCATGACTCTGTGCACCGGGTCACTAGTAATATATAACAGTGTCTAATGATATCATCAGAGTCAAGATGGATGTAAATTAGTCGACAAACGGAAACAGCATCAGGGGAAAAATAATCCAGTTTTCAGTTGATAAAGTGGTAGGTAGTTCTTGTAGAAATAATAAAGAGATGCAGTATCGTCCACTGGACATCCTTTAGGGAAACTAAAGGATATTCTAAACTATGCATTTACTTAATTATATTTTTTAAACAATGCATTTAAATGCTTTTTTTAATTGTGGGAATAAATGAATCCTGCTCTGTCATACAGTGACACTAAATCATGCCATGGCAGGTGAAACTGCCATGAAGACTCTATCACTAGTCATAACTAGGGACATAAGGGAGAGCCAAAGAAAGCCTCCTGGCACTTACGAAGCTCCATGCCTCAGACACTTGGAACCTTCCCCGAGGTTGCTCCCCTTTCAAGGACTCGTCTCCCTCATTCAGAAACTGAAGCAGCCAAACTAAGCTCATCTAAACCACATGCCGCTAAGATCATACCCCCAGAGGCCATTAAATTCAATCTTGTATAGTGATGTTTTCCTCCACTGGGTCTCCACTGTCCGGTGATGACCGTTCTTGGTGAGAACATCTCTTAGTCAACTCAAGCTGCCATGAAAAAACACCATAGGTTGGGGGGCTTGAACAGCAGATCTATTTCTCAGAGTCTGGAGTGCTGAGAAGGCCAAGGTCAAGGTGACGGCCAGCTCAGCCCTCTGCCTGCCCAAAGATGGCTGCGTTCTCTCCGTGTGCTCGCCTTTCCTCGGTGCACGCGTGTGGAGGGAGAGAAGGAACAAGCTCGCTGGTGCCTCTTCCTGTAAGGGCTCCATCGCGTCTGGCTGGGCCCTGCCCTCCTGACCGCACCTAACCCCAATTACCTCGCAGGTGTGTGAGCAGTGCTCCCTGCGGAGAGCAGCTACACGAGAACCACCCCATGGGCGAGACACTATCACCATTGAGCGTGTGGACCACCCTAAGGTCAGTCAGAAATAAAAGTAAAGGTTAAAAGTATCTTCTACTGTTTTAAATTGAGAACATGAAGACAGACGATAACATGGGGGGAGGAGGATGTGTTTTAAAGCAAATTTTAAAAACCTTGGCTGCAGGTAGGTAGAGGCTTACTTTGTATCCCCTGTCCCCTCAATTGGCATAATGTGGGCAGCACACCTGCTGCTCCTTGGAGCACAGAAGAAGCACTGAGATGTTAAAAGCACCGAGAAAGTCCATTTGATGTTAAAGCCCTAGACCTATGAACCAGGAGATCATGGTTCCATTCCCAGTCAGGGCACATGCCCGGGTTGTGGGCTCTATCCCCAGTAAGGGGCATGCAGGAGGCAGCTGATCAATGATTCTCATCATTGCTGTCTCTCTTTCTCTCTCTCTCTCCCTTCCTCTCTGAAAGCAATAAAAATATATTTTAAAAACAAACAAAATATACATTGCAACCTAAAAGTCAATTCTCTAAATAAAGGATTTATCTCAGTTTTTTAAAGTCTAATAGACAGTAAAACTTACTTAAGAAATCATATTTTATGTCATGTATCTTCCTTTGTTTTCATATTTTCTGTGGCTCCAAAGGGCTGTTGTGATAAATAGTAAATCACATTTTTTCCTCTTTGTTTCTTCCTGGTTCACATTATCTGGAAACTGAAACTAATCATATCCTGGCTCACACATTGTGAATGCCTCACTGGATGTGGCACATAAGAGATTAAAATAGGAGTGTGATAAGTAGGTGTTCTGTTTTACAACAGAGTCAGGGAAAGGCAGGGCAAGAAGTGTTCTCAGAGACCATCCAGCCCAATCGCTCTTCTTTTTCACGTCAGGAACCTGAACCCACAGAGGTGTTGACACTTGCCCTTTGTCCTGGAGCACACATTTAGTAAGAGACCTATTTTTAAACATTTGTGGCTCAAAGAGGTCTCATTCCTCCACCTTGCTGATCACTGGGAATAAGAGAGGTTGCACCTGAGAACTCTGGAGCTAAACATAAAATAAAATAACATGACCCCCCAAATTACTTGGTTCTGGGGTTGGCAGAAACAGGGGGTGGGGAGGGATGCTCTGGTACCTGGAATTCTAAGTGACTCGTGAAAAAGAAAAGCTGTAGCATCGCTGTGTGGCTGTGAGGCAGAGGACAGACATGTCAACTGTGGAGTCTTCTATCCCCCGCCCTCAGGTGAGCAGAGAGAACCCTGCCAGTACCTGCTGCCCAGTCCGCACCTCCTCAGGCCCATCCGTTCCCCTCTTAGGGCTTTCCAGCTCTCATCTTAACTCCCTAGCCAGGGGTGGGCAAACTTTTTGCCTCGAGGGCCACAATGGGTGCTTAAACTGGACCGGAGGGACGGAACAAAAGCATGGATGGAGTGTTTGTGTGAACTAATATAAATTCAAAGTAAACATCATTACATAAAAGGGTACGGTCTTTTTTTTCAATAGTTTTATTCATTTCAAACTAGCCGGATCCGGCCCGTGGGCTGTAGTTTGCCCACGGCTGCCCTAGACACTGGGTGCTCTGCCCAGTCGTAGGAAAGTAGTGCTGAGGATGGGAGAATTTTGGTTCCCCCTCCCATCAGGAAACCAAATGGGAACCAGAAAAAAACGTGTATCAAATTTATCAAAGGGGGTTATTTATTTATTTATCTTTAAGTATATTTTTATTCATTTCAGAGAGGAAGAGAAAGGGGGTTGGGGAAGAGTGAGAGAGAGAAAGAGAGAGAGAGAGAGAGAGAGAGAGAGAGAAAGAGAGAGAGAGAGAGAGAAACATTAATGAGACATCCATCAGCAGCTGCCTTTCGTAGGCACCCCGACCAGGGACTGAACCCACAACTTGGGTATGTGCCCTGATCAGGAATTGAACCTGTGTCCCTTTGGAATATGGGGCAACACTCCAGCCAACTGAGCCACACTGGCCAGGCAAAGGGAGTGATTTATTATGTGGAATCCCCAGTTCCTTAGAATTCGCCAAATAGTGCAGTTATTTTCACTATTTTAAAAAGACTATTGGAAATCACACATCGGTCCACGCCGATGCTACACAGACTAACTACAGCACCAGGTTTCCTCCTTTTGACCTGAATTATATTGTCACCCAGGATTATCTCAGGCTTACCAGGAACTCTGCGTAGGAGTTAGAGATGCCTTAGTACTAAAAATGAAGAAATCATTATGAAAAAAAGCAAGAAGAAAAAAAGAAAAATAAATAAAAAGGAAATTTAAAAAGGAAAAAGATTAAACAAATAAAAACAAAAATAAATAAATAATAATAATAATAATAAAGAAATCACTACCTAGTAGAAGAAAATCAGGTCCCTCAGAGGATAAGACAAAATGATAAAAGGTATTTTTGTGGACATAAAAAAGATTTGGGAGTACTGATTTTCAACCAAAGACTGCGGGACTCTTCAAAAATTATCTATGAGAAATCCCCCTCCCCTAGCCCAGCCCTCCCTGTTCCATGGGATAACTCACTGGGCAGGGCAGGGAAGCTTTCCTGTAGCTGGTGTCCTGTGATCCTCGGCGGGCCCGGAGTCCTCTCTCATCCTCCTCTATCCAGCTGTGACCCCAGAAGCTGCTCATCCACTTGGCAAAAGACACATCATCATCATCATCCTCATCTCTGTGCTCCATGGAGAGGTGATTCAAAATAGCCAAGGCCTGTCTCTAAATCTGGCAGAGAGGAATATTGTCAAACTCAGCTGACTTGATGAAACCTAGGATCTCCCCAAAGACAAAAAAGAAACTGGTGTTTTCAAATGGTCTCCGAAAATGAATCCTTAAAAGGAGAAAGATTTACTAAACAACCCCTTCACCATCAGGCAGCCCCGGGAAATGTCTATTTATAAATTGTGCTGCCCACATGCCCCTCCCCTCCCCCATCTCTTTAAATTGAGAGGCTTTGTAATCCTCCCATTGCCAGGCTAGTGCCTCGCAGCCTCAGGGGGGGAAGCACAGTCCACTGCCTGATGTTCCCAGTGCTCTGCTGCCGATGGCTGTGATGGCGTCTCCAGCTGTCAATGGTGATCCTGCATGACCCTCATCATATGCCTGCCAGCTCCAGGCCGGCTCTAAAATGGGGTCACTCGCAGGGACAGACTGACTGCAGCCTGCACGATGGCCAGCTATCGGCATGTCATATCTAGAGCTGGATACTCTCCTAATAAGTAAAATTGATGTTGATATAAAATGCAGCTCCGGGACAAAGGGTGTTTCACTGACATTATTTATACACTAGAGGCCCAGTGCACAAAAATTTGTGCATTCAGGTGGTCCCTCAGCCCAGACTGTGCCCTCTCGCAGTCTGGGGTCCCTCGGGGCCCCTTCCCCTGGCTGCTGGCACCAGTTTTCCTCCGGTGCCCGGAACCCAGGCCTTCGCTCTTTGCCGGGAGGGGCCCGGGCCCCGGGGGCGTGGCGGAGGCCGTCGTGGTGGGCTTCCCTCTTTGCTCTTCACTTGCCACGCTGGCCTTCACTCGCTGCTCCTGCCCCGGGCCAGCCGGCTTCGCTCCATCGCTTGGCGCCTACTTATGCAAATTAACCGCCATCTTTGTTCACGGTTAACCGCCATCTTTCTTGGCAGTTAATTTGCATATCGTCCTGATTAGCCAATGGGAAGCATATCAGAGGTACGGTTAATTACCCTATTCGTCTTTTATTAGATAGGACTAGAGTCCCAGTGCACAAAATTCATGTGTGTGTAGGGGGAGGTCCCTCAGCCCAGCCTGCACCCTCTCCAATCCGGGACCCCTTGGGGGATGTTTGACTGCCAGCCTGATAGCCCCTAGCTGCCCTCCCATGCTGGCCTGGTCGCCCCTAACCACCACTGCCTCGGCCCTCACCATCGTGGCTTTGTGTGGAAAGACACCTGGATGGGTGTCCAGAAGATGTCTGCTCTAACTAGCATATTACCCTTTTATTAGTC